TAAAGCCAACAACAGACTACGCCTTGGTTTCTCTCTAATCATCAAGATCTTAAACAATCTTAAATAAAACTAAGCGACAATTTACTGTTGATCTAAAAGAACACTCTTCAAACTTCGGTAGAAAATTGAACCTCATTCGTTTGGTTGTGATAGAAAAGTAATTTGTCTGTAATTGCAGTGGATTCGATCGCGGGTCTGATAACTGTTTCACACTCAAACCTCATCATAAAAAACATTCATTACCAACTACTTCTGACTCCTGACAGGATGTAGTCAGGGTGTGAAACAAATGGTTAACAATTGAAAATTGTTGCCATTAAAGGATGAAAGCAAACAGTTTTGTAGATTAAATATTTGTCAGTCTTTAATAGTATACTCCGTCGGCCCCACTTAATGTCTAGTCCAAGATAATCAAACTAGGAGGCAAGCACACTGACCATTCATCCGATGGTTTATATAGATATACAAATAAAAGATGGAGAACACAAATAAATGTTGAAAAAACAGTCTCATTCAGTTAATAATACTAAAACACCGCTTGCTAGATCAAATAAGAAAAGAGTTACACGGAGTTTCACTTTATCATGAGACTCACGTTTACCATTGCTGTTATACTAATCAAGTGGTGAGCATAAGGTATTCAACAGAGATAAATAGGTACGTCAAACTGGTTTTGTTGTTGTTGCAGTCCTTATTACTATATTTCTGACTTGAGAAGACTGAAGATCTGTATATGGTGACTTATACTTCAATTACAATCCAGATTAAGTAGTTTGTTCCTTCCATACATGATATTTCATCCAGGAGGATGGTGACAGGTTACCAGAATAATCATCAGGCATGCTACTGTTGCTTACATGATTCATTCTGGTTATAAAAGCCATAAAATATCATATAAGGTAAGGTGAAGTGTCCCATGTGAAAAAATGGTTCTTGTAGATTCCTAAGACACGGAAAACTACTCAGTACACTCTTGTTTGGGACGGTATTTAAACCATGATAAGTGAAAAATTCAGATATTATAGTAACAACCATCTTAATGAGCTTTTGCTATAAGAAGGTTATGATCTTCATAACAAACATATTTTTCTGAGTGATTTATTCGGTCCAAATAGAATAACACAGATTTTTCTAGTCATGGAAGTGAAGTTGTCATCAACATGAAATTCCTCTTATCATACATCCGGTCAGAAAATGTTAAGAGGGATTCATCCAAAATTACTATAATTACTCATTGTTAACTTTACGAATAACAAGGATTGAGATGTGGGTGAAATGATTATAATCAGTATTTATTTATTAATGATTCATAAATACCGATTTAGAATCTATATTTTAAATACTTTATTCGGATTGACTTATTAATTAAAGTATCGTCATTGCCGGCGAATAGTGAATGAAGGCATTTGGAGTTTTCTTACTTTCTCCACATGCATCAAAGAAAGAAACTCTGAGGTTGACATTGCAGTTAATTAAAGCTAGCTGGTAAGCGTCATTTCACGTTCCCCAGTGGAGCATAGGGCTTCAAACTAGTAGCTTGAAGTTTCTGTAGCAGTGTTTATTTTACAGGATGGGTTGCTAGCCTCATGCCCAACCTTTCCTATTTAGGAGCATTATTTCTGGCTTAGAGAGGTAAAGGAGTGCGTCAGCCGGTGATCGAACCCCGGACCATGTGCATGGTCGGCGAGCGTCCTAACCACTATGCCACCGACGAACCAGTCTTCAGTATAGACTATTATTTTACATCTAACGCATTCGACCGATGTATACGTCTAGACCTCTGCTTTGGTTATTACCCACTATCGATTCACGAAAGGCATTCAATACTGGGAATTAACTGAGTTTTGGATGTTACTTCTGAGCTGTCTAACATAAATAATGGTAGATAGTGACTATATTGAATAAGAATACCAGGCAGACTTTGCTGTAAAAGAAACAGCCTAAGCACCATATCATCAGCGATGAACATCAAGTCCTGTGTGCTAAGAATGACGTGTATGTCATAAATTCTTCATTTCTTTAACATTCCTTAAGGTAGTTGTCAAAAAAAAATTTTTTTAAATTAAATTTAGAATTTTATCAGTAAAATCGCTTGATAAATGTTCTTTAAATGAACAACTTAGTGAAACATGGTATGTAGCTGACTTTATGAGGTTTGGCACCCGATAGATGATGGAGAAGGACTATTTAAAGCTAATACTGAAGAGTCCTTTCCCATTATCTATCGCAGCCCAAACAAACCGGCCACAAAACTAATTTTACGAGATTTCTCGAAATATTATGCATAACTTTTATTCCTTTCTTGCTCTAGACGCGCTGGTTTATTTGCATTGAGGCAGTCCAGAAATGCCATATTAGTGTTTCTTCTCAGTTATATATATATATATATAAACCTAGCAAATTAAAGGTAAAACCCTATGGACTACTATTTTACATATGAAGGTACCTATCAGTTTTTAGACTATATTTGTATCATCCTGTAAGTTTACCCTAATGTTATTATGTACATTTTATTCTCGAAAGAACAATCTGACGATAAAATACCGGCAGTAATTATATTTGACTTGGATAATACTCCATGAGTCGGTTGAAGCTGACACTGAAATACGCAGTGGTAATAAATGAAAGTGAAATGCAAATTCGGGTCGTTACGAAATACAAACTAAGGGTCTTCAAACTGCTACTTCAGTGCTCTGTCATCTGAGCCATGTGACCCAATTACTGTCAACACCACTAGAACATGTGCCAAGACAACATACTTATACGTGAATTCAAGCAAATATTACTAAGCCGTATTTACTGCACACAGAAACAGCACTTATCACGTATTCCTTGCCACAGTATTTGCTGACTGGTGGAACTAGGTCAGCTCCAACACCAATGAGTAGACAATGGTTACAGCTTAGTGACTAGTCAGTGTACTAATTACAGTACTACAGAAAGTCATCTGTAAACCTGAATAGCTAAGTGATTACACTTCTGAATACAGGAGTGGGTGTTTCTAGTAAGAACTATGAGCGGACATTATTTACTTCATGGCTACAGAAATGCCTTAGTGAAGAGTATCAAGAAGCATGAAACCTACGTCAGGGACTGCGTATAAATTACTTCAAGTCATCTGATGTCATTTCAGAGTATTACACTGTTGGAACTATTTAAAAGGTGCTGCTGTCATACACATGTGAACATGAATTTTTTAAATTTATGATAATTTAAAAAACTGAAGACTTTTGAGGTTGTTTAGCATCCTGACTGAGAATCAGTTAGCTGATTAGCAGAATTGTAATTTATTGAGGAAAAGATAATCTGACTTGAAAAATTGTTTGTAAATAGCAGTTTCTACCACACTGTCTTTATCTTTTTTCCAGTCAAGCTACGAAACCTTCGTTACAATTTTTGAAGAGTTTATCTATCTTAATAATTTTCTTTCTGGCTACTTCTAACCCGTTTCATTTTATCAAGTGTATCAATACTATTGTCACCATCGTGGTTCCAGTGTTTTGACAGAGCTTGATCCAGTATATAACGAATCATGCGCATTCTTCTATTCAGCAGCTTTTTCTGTATGTCATTCACTTGAACTCTACAGTCACGCCAATTTTTATCAAACGTGCATTGACAAAGCTATCTTTCTTGTAAATGATCGACTTATTTTATTCCTTTACGTTCCCAGTGGAACAAAGGGCTTGAAGCTGGAGGCTTGTAGTTTTGGTAACAGTGGTGTTTACTTTTACGGTGTGCGTTTGATAGCGACATGCCCAATCTCTCCTTTTTGATGGCCCTACTACCGGCTTAGCGAAGTAAGGGAGCACGTCTGCCTGAGATTGAACCCCTTGGTCGTTGAGGATTCTATAGCTGCGCTATCGACGCAAATAACCGACTACCTTACATAGTATACATACGAATATGTATATTCAAAGCACAGTCATCAGAATGTGGTATGTCTATATTGAATAAGTATATCTGGTTACTTGAAGAATACTGGGAGCTGATTTTGTTCCTGCATCAAAGGAACTACGGATAAATCCTAATCATACTGGAGAACAAAATACTCATTCTGTAATACAGTCCCCAAGACTAAGACTGAATGTTTCCCAATCAGCATTTCATATGAGACCAATAAAGCTTATTATTTTCATTCTCTCATACATATATATATATATATGTAACAAAAGCTGGTGCTTTAAGCATATACGTGAATTACAGAATGTTGTATTGCAGATATTAAACTTGTGGAACATGAAGCCTGTGCTCCCAGATATCTGTAAATCTGAAAGTTATTGATTAACATCTTTATACTCATAACCTAAAGATGAACTCATGGACATCATAATGCAGTTTGTTTCTTGTTATTATCTCTAACGTATACGCTATATTAGAATAATAATAATAATCAGCTGAATGGGTTTTAGGCTAGCAAGCCTAAATGTGTGAGCCTAAAGATTACCTATTAACACCATTAAACAATCCTTGGTTAATAAAATGTAAAGCAACATTAGTAAGTCCGTGTAATGCCTGAAAATAAGTTAAAGTATACAAATAAAGTGCGTTTATGAATGAGGATTAAGCTTAGCTAATCCTGAACTGAAAACGCAATTCACATCTCCAAATAAGTAACTCAGTAAATAGAAATTTAAGTTGTGAAAACCCTATTCATGTGGTATAATTAGTACATAGAAATCGTTTCTAATTCTAAGAATAAAATAGTAATCATTCATGCCAGTAGTTATTCTTCGTGTTATGTTAGATATCATCATTTGTTGTCTGTAATAATTTGTTCACAGATTAGGGCGTCTAAAAATTTAGCAGTCTATGCCTACTTATGTGACCGAGCATAACAGACACTTTTATTGTGTTATCTCGACAAATATGATATAACACCCGCCTGAAACAATCCGTTATCAAATAATAATAAAATTGGTTTTATAGTGCAATACGTGTCAATTAGAAATGGATTACATTACTGAGATTTACTATAAAATACTTCTGATTATACTTACCATACTTCTCCTACATCAAAATATTTAATTCGCTTTATTTGATCAGAATAACATTAATCCAGTAGGTAAGTGATTTAAGTTCACTAACGAATTCAGTAAATATTTGATGAAATGTTTCACTACAAACACTGAGCGCAATGAATAAAACTAATGTTAGACCAAAAATGCAAATAAGTATGATAATTTTTAGGAAAATAAAGCATCATTATAAGCAGAAACTGCTATATAAAGAATGCATGTCATTTTTGTTCTTTCGATTGGTCCAACCTTATTTATAAGTAGCATGTATTGTTTAACCACTTAACCAATCAGAAAATCCATTAAAAACGAATAGATGAAGATGGCCAATAAGGCAGTAGTAATGCAGTATATCAAACAATGAGTCAAAGTGAAATTTTGAAGTAAGAAAAATTCAAAAGGCTAATCTAAATATCCACGTTCCAGTAAACTTAAACTAATAGAGGAATAGTGATTCCTGAAAAGATCTTTGAATAAAGGTGAACATCGTGCTTCACATGAAATTTTACTTAGATCCTCGATTGACTCTCTCTCTCCCATTTACGGATGTTCTAACAGCAAAAGGAGCAGGTGTAACAGTATGTACAAACTTAAATAGTAAACCTACATCAACTGGTTAATAAGCTCACTTTGAATTCCGACCCCATACAATACAAACGAAACCTGTTAGATGTTTAGTTCACCATGGTAGAATTATATTTTCGGATGAAACAGTTAACGAAAAACTCAGCGATATCCGTGATCTGCTGAAATGAAACGTTCAAGCCGAAAAATGTCTCAAAAATAAATGTATGCATATAACAATAAAAAGCCCAAAATGCCTTCAGTTCCAAAAAAATCTGTGCTCCCTAAGTTGAATTTCCCGGGATATTTTGGTAGTCGGATCGTATGACAGCATCTGAGATGGGTCATTGAAAGGACCCTTAATTCAGCCTAGTTATACGGTTTATAACCGACCAGTACTTTTTACGAAAAGAAAACTGCTTAAATTCATTTCTTCATGTGTATTTACTAGTTTCACTGCTATATGTAGCTCGTTATATTAGGCGTGTGACTACGCAAGTTCGTCATCGAATACTTAACTGACTCATATGTAACAGAGAACTGAATAATGTCATACGCAGCTAAATACTAGCTCATATCAGCAATAAAAGACATCAGGTTGACACTAAAACAGCTAACAAAATTATTGCCCAATTTTTAGCACGTTCTGCTAGTATGAATTTACATATAGCACAGGTAATTGGAATTCATAAGAACAAACTAATCTACCTTCAGAAGTAATCCAGCAGCTTCCCTCTTTTACCATAACAGCTTACGTAACATACATAAACTCTTGCTTATAATCCGTCGTTCTTGTAACGATCATTGTCTTTGTTATTACTGTCCTAGCTAATCCAGGTAACTTATCGCATCTTGGTATTTCCGAGTAGTTTATTTATTCATTTTTCTTAGCCACTATTATTTTAAACTATTATTTGTCATAGCTTGTTGCTAGATACTACAGTAAACCGATCTATTTAGTAATTATTTCCACCTTGTTACACTTCAAGATTTATACTTTTTTGGACTCACACTGTCTCCAACTTCTGATAATTAAACGGTGTGAAAAGCAAGATAGACATTCATCTGTGAAACCATTGTGGAGAGCTCCAGTCACATCAAAGAAGACCAAAACTTTTAATCGTTTGTCAAGCTATATATATATATATAGGTTCAAGACTTGGAACGGCATTAAACAGGTTCTCGAGCAGACTTCTTCAACAGTTGCCTTTTCAGCTCGACACTAAAGATGGAATGATCAATCGGAAATAATAAACAACTAAGAACATAGCACACAGCTAACCAAACTAAAAGCTCCTCCGACAAATATGCATGATGAGATAGAAATACACTGAGGAAACGTTGAAGTGACAACACACCTAGATTAGTCTAGAGAAGCCTGGATGGAAAGGGACAAGTAGGGCGTGCGAAGGCTACGAGATCGCGTGACAAGGAAGTAGATGATTGTTGTCAGCCATAAAGCTAGGAGGAAATGACATCAGAGAGCAGGATACAGTTAAGATGTTTCATAAGCATATAAAGTGCTAATTTGAGCACAAAACGATGAAATTACAAGTCATTGATGCATCCCATAAATTACTGAATATAGGCTTAACAAAACAATTTAAGAGCTCCTGCTCGTTCTTGAGTGTCTCATGTAACTCTCAGTGATCTAACTGCTCACAATAATGCTTTCTCATGAAGTGGTATAAGTGTATAAGTATAAGTATAACTGTCATAATCACAGGATAATTATAGAATAAGCATAACTACCATACTCTACCTAACTTGTGGTTAGCTTCTTATAGTAAGAGTAAATTAAGGAATATTATCTAAATATCATAATAATATCTCATAACTTATCAATATTTATATATTTCCACTGTCTTACTCCAATCAAATGACTGATCGAAGAGCTGACAATCAAATACAAAAAACTTCATCTTACGTCACCATCATATCACTTCATCTGATGACAACATCTTACATTTCGAAGGTAGATTCCCATTGCCACAAATATGATTGTCCTGTGGTAAACAATTCATGATAATGAATTTGTTGTTGCACTTCTTTCAACAGTAGATTGAATTACTAACAAATCAAACACAAACAGACTACCTTCACTGTGTCTAAATAGTTAAATGCTCATGATAGATTCAATATTTTTCCTCTGTTCAGTTAACCTTTTTATGATTGCTAGCTACCGAAACCTTAAGCTACTGAACTTTCAGTGTATTTTGGCACACCATATCATTCACTTTATTGTGAAACGTACTGTTGACTTCATTCACGTGATACATTCTGAAACGCCAGCAAAAGTCCAAACAGTTTGTCCGACGCTGGCGGTTCCTATGATTTCACAACAGCACACTGTCAATTTGGTATTTACCTTGCTTTTTGATTCACTCGTGAAGGATTCATCACCTGTTTTACTGATATATTCAGCACTTCATAGTTAAAATTCTCGATTTCATGTAAATAAGTGCTGCAGAATCCATGTATAAAGCTTCACAGAATTGTTGGAGTTCTAATCAGACTGGTAAGTTAAAATGTAGAAGAGCATACTCATCATCAAATAACCCCTTGTGACTTGATTTCAGTTATGAAACAAGGATTACAAATTATGTGAAAGTTTACTTGAGTTAATTATTTCATACAATGATTCCCTTTTATAAATTTGAACAAAGAAAGAAGAAACATTGGCGCAGAATAATCTGGATCCATTTTATTTCATTGGTTCTCATCATCTGCGTACAACCTGAATTCATTAATAAAATAAAAATAAAAATGTACAATTTTAGCAAACCTTTGTCCATCAGCAAGTATATTGTCAGAGCGTCATAGTGAAATAAGGCGTCACAATTTACAGGATGTCTAAAGGGTTACGACATATAAATATCTTGTTAGAAAGAGGTTTCTTGAAAAAAAAACAATTAATCATTGTGTTGCTGTTGGGTTGGTTAAAAAGAAAATTAGTAATAGTTACGTAATTAGATAAGAGATCAACATTTTAAAATTCGGTGCACATGAGGTCAGATGAGAAGTTGATAATGTAATACAGTGAGCAGAACTCAGAAGACCGAGAAAAATTATCCCTTAAGAGAGTCAAGCGAAAAATAAAGTGGAGGGGGGGGGTTGGAGTGAAAAGATAAGTTAACAAAATTAGAAAACAAAGAGTTACTAAGATGTGATACCATAGGTAATGACTTATCTACAATTTGTCGATTACATAAGTTGAGGTGGTTATCAAATTATGAATAACAAACAGAATGGTTCTCCTGAACTTCTTTGTTTCTCTTCCTTCCTCCCACCTAATTATGCAGATAAAGCTGTGACCAACATCCAAAAAACTTGATAAAATCATAGATTTAATTCTAACACCTTACGTATGTCGTTAATCTGTTACTTTATTACTAATGTCATTATGTTCGCTCTGATGATTCTTTTATGTAAGCCTTAATCAAAATACTATCTGAAGTCTTATTGGATTTTTTTGTTTAATACTGAAACAGGTTAAAGTAAATTGAGTGTTAGCTGTTACGACACCAATCAGTAGTGATTTCTTACACTATAAAGCGGCTAGAGCCAATTTGAAGTCACTTCTAGTAAAAATTTGATAGTTCTTAGTAAACGTCACTGATAATTTAAAGGTCTCTTGTATACATAATTCGGAAAGCTAGTTATCCTATTTATTTACAGTATTACATTAATTCGAATAGTAATATCAAACAAAGAAAGAACAATATCGTTGCGTTCACAATACATATTCTACTTGTTTCAACACCAAGTAATTCGCTGGCACTTTGCTCACACTACTGTTTTTATTTCACACTTACCATCTTCGATGTCGGTCGTAATTGTGTTGATAAACTTACGTGAATTTAATGTGTTTTGTTTTTAAGTAAGAGAGACAGACAGTGAGAGATGCAACACGTAAACATAAATAAATAAACAACATATTCCCATGAAATATTTGCCACATTTTTACTAGGTGAATTACTCACGCAGTAACAGTCACCCGATTCTATTCTGAATCACACCTACAATAAGTTGAAGGCATTTGTTAACATATATATATATATATATATATATAGATTACCGATATTATCGGGAGTGACAGTGAAATATGGAAGCCCGCTGACATATGAGGTAATTTGGACCATGCATTTTGGAAACAGACAAAAACATATCATTCGAAATGAAATTAATGGATCTGTTGATTAAATAGCGTAAGGAAAACATCCGGAAGAATCCTCTACAAAAATTAGAACACAAACAAAAGTAAAACAGCTAATAAAGTCACACCACAGTGGCTTAATATTTCCCGGTTTGACCACGGATTGATAGCTAGAGAGCCCTTGAAAACCAGGTAGTAATGGACAGCTGTTTCATCCTAGTTTATGTTTAATAATTGTTTGACAATTAAGATACTAGTTTAATGACAAATACCAAAAGTTATTTTTGTTCAGTATGATTCCAAAACGGTGTCATACAATATTTAGAGAATTATGCATACTAAGGATAGTGAATGTAATATTCTGTCAGTTAACAAGTGAACTTGGTGATTCATGTTACATAGATGAATGCATTGCTTTAAATCACAAACTGTTTGTTGTTTTCACGAAAATGGACTCCACTTCAACGTAATTTATTAGTTCTTGTAATAATCTGCA